TTCTATTTGTTAATTATTGATGAAACATAAGGATTTACTTTTAAAAACTGTTTTCTCAGTAAAAATCAAAAAATCCATGCTTACACATTGTTGTGATTGTCCTGGTAAAGAACCCTTTACCACCTACTTGTATGGTGAGATAAAGTACTAGCAATGGCAAACTACAGATTGTGCAGCACTATTGGGTTTGACAGTAGATATTCAAACTTTCTTGAACTATTAGTTTCTTACTTTGAAAAGCTACAAGCTCATTCTTTAATTGCCCATTCTCAATCACAGTGTTTTGTTCAATTAAAAAAAAAAAAAATGGATTAATCAAGCATTATAACTATAACAACTTTGGAAAAATTATGTTTTTGTAATCCTAGATGAAATATAGGGCTATCACTGAAACACCCAACATTGTTTTTTACATATATTATAATATAATTTAAAGCCGATGAACATGTACTAAAACATATTTCTTATTGTTTTATATCAGCTGACATTACACACAAAATATTTAACTAATTAGGCAAAAAGTATTTTAGCTATTTTATTATCCACACTAAGATATTTTATTACCCACACTAAAAACAAAATTTCTCAATTTGTCAAAATTGCTTTAATTCAATGATTGTTTTGCAGAGCATTAAAAAAAGTAAAAGTTTTTACAAGTCAACTACCAAGTGAATTGGGTCTTAAAGCTGAATAAAGTTGAAAGTAATCATTAGACAGGATTGGCAGTGTTGTAAAAAGGTTGACAGCACAGGGTTGTTTGAAACAACCAAACAGAAACCAAGTTCTACTGTTTTATTCCCAACATAAACACATTGAAAAACTATTTATTCCATAAGCTTGCTGTAGTTCCAGTAAAAAGTTTATGTTAAAAAATATTGTGAACAAAAACAGTCAAAATAACTTTTGTCTTCAATACCTTAAAAAAAATTGTGTTTTTCAATCTTAAATATTATAGCTGAACTTAACCCTGCTTTTAGTAGTGCCCTTTCGAGTGTGTTTGAAATGTACTTTTGGCATCCATTGCAACTGAGTTAATTTATTTTGCTTTATAAAAACTTTTTTCTGCGTATCTGATACTGAGAATAAATCTCTAACAAACCAGTTATAGATTACAGTAATATATTTTATATATAACTAATTTATTTTTTATTAAAAAAAAAGTAATTACTTATAAAAATTGTGTGGATATTATAGTTAGTTTATCATGTTTTCTTTTTTTAGAGTTAATATAAATATAAAGTTAACATAAGATGTTTTGATTAATGTGGAATAACAAAATATATATTAACATTCTTTGGGCAAATTTAATTTTAATTAAATAAAAATTTGTTTCTATTGAAAAAAAAGTAATTTCTGTTAGAAAATAATTTATTTCTTCCTGCACCATGGTTCGAATCCTACCACTGACATCTTTTTTTTAATATTTTTTGATTTTTCTTAAATACAAAATAAAACGCTTTTGAAGTTTTATAGATATTATATGTATAACATATGTAAAGATATTATATACTATAACAAACAAAAGGATTTTTTAAAAAAGCTTAAAACACCAGGAGAAATTTGTTGCACTTGCATCATTATTGAAATTAACTCATGTTATTAATGTGCTCAGGTAATTATTTCTAATAAACTATGGATTGTCTGAAAAAAAATTATGGTCTGAAACTTGAAGAAAAAATTCAATAAGACAGTCCTGCTACTCCAGAAGCTGCTACTGTGGATGCAAAAAAAAAAAAAGGAATTATTTAAATGATTGTTTTCATATTTTTGACATTGTTATCTTTTATATTATTAAGAAATTTTTTTTCTAAATGTCATGAAAACCTGGTCATTTTAGAAAATCAGGTCAGTTTTAAAAATTATAAAATCTTGTCAACTGTTCAACATTATTAGGTGAAATTTGGCATAATTGTCAGGGGCTATTCTATAAAAATAATTTAGGCAATGGTCAAGTATTATTATTATATTATTTATTATACATCATATTCTTGTTTTGAGACACTCTCTTTTGACTTCAAACAAGTCATCAATAAATTTTCTGTTACCTTGAACTACCATTTCCTTGGATTAGCCTCAAAAAGCAAATGAACAAGACTGGTTTATGAGTTTTATAAAATCAGCAAGACAGTTTTATAAGTTTTTACTAGATTTTATATTACCAGTTGCAAGTCTGACAAGACATTGTACTTGATTTTTAGTTATAGATTTATACTTCAAAAGATTAGTAAATTTATACAAAAAGTTACTAAATTTATAGGAAAGATTGTGGAAACTAAATTGCCTTTTTTTATTTTACTAAAAAATTTAAAATGTAAGGACTTATAATCAAATTTTGCATAAAGTATCAGATAAAGTAATATTTATTAAATGATAAAGTGTTCTTAATGGATAGAAATGATTCTGTCAAGTGACTTGACAGATGATAAACAATTAAATGGGACTTGAAGTACCATTTAATTGCAGAAACATATTTAGTAAGGAATTAATTTATTAACTAAGATATGCATTAGTAATCAAGTATGCTGAGAGATCCATATAAGGTCCTCAGAGATCCATCGAGACGATTTTTATCATCAGGTATTTATCATCAGTTTTTATTGGTTATTAATGTTTGTAAAATTTGATCTACACAAGCTTTTCTTTTTTTTAGTAGTAGTAAGTGACCAGGGCTCTGGCCTGTCCCTGGCTAAAAATGAGAACTTTTGTAACCCTGACCCCAGGATTACAAAAAGTCTCCTTTTTTTTGATGTGTTAGGAAAAAAAACTTGATTTATAAAAGATTTTAGCACAAAGGGACAGATACCGTAAAAGGATGTAACTTGTTGAATAAGAAGTCAAATAAAAATGAGTTTAAGTTTATCGTAAGAGATAATAGCTTATTTGATCATTGACCGTGATATTATTTGTAAAAAAAGAAAGAAATGCTACCTTAACACAAAGGTAGAATCGCTCAAGCTTGGCAGATAAAGCAGGTCTAATTGCGTTTACAATTTACTAATTTACGTTTTTTAGACTTTGTCTGAGAGTAAGAGGGTTGTTATTCATCGATATAGGAATGCCAACATTATTGCAATATTTTTTGCAGTAAATGAGTTTTGTTGTTTAACAAAAATTGTGGATATTTTGTCCAAATTTTAAGACTATGATGGAAATCTTGTCTGAAGTACAAACTGTAAAAGTGTTTAAATTGAGAATTAAGTTTTGCATTGGAAGCCACAGTGTATTGGATGTTTAACAATTGGTTAATCTGTTTAACTGGCAGGAAGAGTATGGCCATTATTTTTAAGAGTCAAATTAGAGTAAGGTTTCTTTGCAAATGCCTTATTCTGAGGAGAAATAAAAAGATCAGACCCATGAACTAGAGATTAAATGTTAGACTTACTTTAGTTAATGACCCTGTTAAAGACATACCAAAAGTCTCTAGAATCTAACATCTAAGACAAGATACTAGATTTAGTAAACTGAGAATAACAAAGCTTAACATCAGACATGACCTTTTTACATTGAAATAGTAAAAGGGCATTGTTTTTGAGAGATGTTCTTGTAAAAAAAAAGATAAAAAAAAAGATTGTTTAATAAAACTGCTCAAGATGGTAAAAAAATGTGAAGTAGAAGATGCATTTAATGCATACATATTATGTATGCATTAAATGCATCTTCCAAGATGCAATTAATGCATACATATTATGGGTAAAAACATATATGTTTGCTATTTATTTAGATGCTGGCATACAATATCCTTTCACATTTATATAAACTTTAGTAAATATATGGCGCAGTGTTTGTCGAAAGAGAAGATTTAGCAAAAAAGTCTTATCGAACAACGTTTGTTAAAGAACATTAAAATGATTTAGGTATCAGCATATAGAGAGGTAGCAGCTTCAAGAGAAAATATTATTGGTAAAAGTAAGAAAACTTGAAATGAGTAATCTACATTTAATGCATTGCTCATTATTTTTTATACTATTGTATAAAAAACAATGAGCAATGCATTAAATGCACATATATTTGACACTATTTTTAAAATGGTATCAAATATATGTTTTCCAATGGTATCAAATATAGCAATGCACAATATATTTGATACCATTTTTGTTTTATTTTATGAAAGGTGCTGTATGTACGAGCTTTAGTTAAGGAAAGAAAATGCTCTAGATTGTTATATTAGAGAAACAGCATAAAACAGGAAGAGATGATTATGATGACTATGATGATGATGATGATGATAATAATAATGATGGTGATGATGATGATAATCATTATCACCATCATTATCATCATATTGATGATGATGGCAGTGATGATAATGATGATGATGATGATAATAATAATGATGGTGATAATGATGATAATCATTATCACCATCATTATCATTATATTCGTGATGATGGCAGTGATGATTATGATGATCATTTTGGTCATAATGATGTTTATATATCCTCAATGATGTTTATATAGCCCTGGCTCAGGCTATATTTTATCAAACACGGCCCTGGCCCCGGTTCGGGTCAAATATCAACCCCGGTCGCTTACTATTGGGTAGTGCCATTTCAAAAAAAAAATCTCACTTCAAAAATAAAGTGGTTGTTAAATGTAAAAAATAATTTTTTCTGGATGGTTCTTTTTTAGTTTTTAATATTTGTTTGAGAAAAAAGTTTCTTTCTTTCGGGTAATTTCTGTTGTTTGTTGCTATCCTATAATTAAACTATTGATGATTTTGAAAATATTCTAGACATTATTTTGATGTGCAAGTTATACATTTATACATTATACATTTTTATAAATGAAATAATAAGACAAAGTTTTTTTTGACACTCCTTAATCATACCTTCAAATAGTTACATTGCATCTTTAAATTTGTTATAATAAAAAATGTTTTTATTATTTTGATATCATTTGAAATTTTTATTTTTTTGATAAACAGGTTGTTTTTTGTTTAATTTTTTTTTTTTTGAATAACAAACTGTTCAATTAACTGCTCTAATATTTGTATACTCTAGATTCAACAAAGATGGTGTATATGTTTTTGATGCTTCAAAACTTTATGAAACACATAAAAAGTGTCAGAATAAAGCCCAAAAATACTGTATGGCTGGAAAAACTATTATTATTGGTATGTTATTATGCCAAAATAACAATATATTTACTTGATTACTAGAATTGTTTATCTCATTGCTGTCATATACATATTTAGATATTAAATGCATAATGGTTGTACACTGGCAGCGCTCGAAATAGTTTTTCAAAGCTTGCTGATCAAATGTAATTTTTTCACAAAAACAGGTTATTTTCTCTTGAATTTTTCAAAATTTCCCTAAAAATAGCCAATCATTGATCGTTGATCGGCCGTTATTTCGAGCGCTGCACTGGTCTTACACAAAATTATAACCAATAAATATATAATAAGTACAGTAGAACACTATCCTTTTATATCTAAGCCAATCTATTTTGGACCATTTTTATTGAGTTCAAGCAGGATGTAAAAAGTTATTTATAATTTTTATTATTTTTTGAGAGAATCAGGTCTTTTTATTTAAGGAGGGTCTTTTTTATGTGTAAGTTTAGGAAATACTTGTCTATTAAATAATTTTCGTCATGAATAAAGTTTTATTTTTGTTTTTATACATAAAAAATATTGTCCATATATCAAGTTTGAAATGTTACTTTAGATAACACTAACTTATCAAAAAAAGATTTTGAGCCATATTTATCAATGGCAGAGCAACATCATTACTTGACATTGTTTGTTCAAACACAAGAAACTGATACTGATGTTCTTTATTCTCGAAATGTTCACAATGTTCCAAAACAAAAAATTGATGCAATGAAATCCAATATGGAAAGAGTTGTTCCATTTTGTTTTTGTTGGGCTATTCCAAAAGATGAGGCTGATCGGTTAAAAAATTTTATTGAGAAAAATTTGTTTGCTTGGCACCATCCGTTGTTCATCTTGTTTCTGCAGCAGGTAGGAGTAAATCGATTCAATTTATATGATATTTTTGGCAATAGTTGTTTATTTCCAATCCATGTATTATCATATTATTCAACTGATAAACAAAATATTCTAAAGTATGGATCATCAGATAGTGTACGTCGTCATTTAGGTCGTGTAAGTCAGTTGAATGTAATTGGCTATTGTATAACTAAAAATTCTCTGTTTGCTCGCGTGAAATTGACAGATAAACAAAAAAAAGTTTTTTGTGATATTGATTGTAAAGGAAACACCATTCAAGTTGACAGTAGAGATATCAAATATAATAAAACAATTGATACATTTAAAGAATATATATCTTCTGATATAATTGTTCCTGATTTTGGTATTGGTTGTACTGCTTATATATCATTGGGAATTAAAAATGGTATGCTTCCTGAGCAATCAAGAAATGACCTTATGTTTCTATTAGATGCAGAACTTAATTCAATGCCGCATCTTGAGTTAAAATTAAATTCAGGCTTATTGAGATGCTATAAAAGAGATTTGTGGGTTGTTTATTTGAATAATTTAAATTGTTTTGATACTATGTTTATTGCCATTGTATAAAAAATAATGAGCAATGCTTTAAATGCACATTAACAATATATTTGATACCATTTTTGTTTTATTTTATGAAAGGTGCTACTTAAAAACTAGAATTTTAGTTCATATAAAAAAAGTGATAAATGTGTTTAACTTCTGTCTACTAATGGCTGTAAATATGTGTGTGTATATTCAATGGTTTTGGAATAAAGTTGACTTTTTTCCATTAATGTTGATGGTTATAGATATTAGCATGTGTTTTAACAAATACACCAACTGAAGATTTAGGTTTCTGCTGGAAGTTTACATTTAGAGAAAAAAATCAGCTGTGAATTTTTTATTTTTTAAACTTTTTTGTTATTTTTGAAACTGTCAAAAGTATATCAAACTTATTTTTCTATCTCTTGAAATATTCAAAAATATAGAAAAGTATATATTAAATATATATTCATAAGTATTTATTTTTTAAGTATATAATTATATATATATTTATATAGATTGTATATTTAAAAGTTTGAAATTCATTCCATGGATTAAAAAATTAGTGTTTTAGATCAACATGATACTAATTTATTTTTTCAACTTTTTAACTTATTTTTAAAAATGTGTTAATGTGGTAAAAATCCTTATTTTTGAAAATTTTATGTGCTTTTTTTTTTTTTTTTTTTTTTTTTTCAGAAAAAATTTCTTTTTTAACAGCATCTTTTGTTCCCTTGTGGCATGCAATATTTGAGACAATAACTATTTACAACAAATTATGATTATCTTTAAAAGTATATTATTAATACATAAATATACTATTATTACACATAATTCAAGTAATGCAAAAGTCAAGTTCATTTGCAAGCAAAAGTGAAGTGTCACAACTCAGGTTACTAAATATTGATAAAGAACAAGTGAATGTTTAATTTTAGATAGAGATAAAACTTAATATTATGTATTCTGAAATATATTTTTGAATATAAAATTTCAATTTAACAATATAATTTTTGTTTTTTTATTATTTGTTTTTTAATAAAAAATATACATTATGATTTAGGTTGCAGTTGATTAATGCTTGCCTTAAAAAAGATGCTAATGGCACTATAAATGCATTAAAGCAAATAGTTGTTTGCATGACTCAATCTGTTGATGTTACCTCCCTACTACCTGATATAATCAGAGAGGTTTTTATTGTTCATTTTTATTTAATTCAGTAAATATAATAAGTTTTTTTTAATTTAAGTTTATTTAAATTTAAATTTTGAACATTTAAATTTAATAAAATAAATAATTTTATTTTATTAAATTTGTTGTTGGTATTTAAAGTTTCTTTAAATTAAATTATCAAAATGTTAAAGTTAGTTTTTATTAAGGCATGCGCAACTACAAATTTGGTCCAAAAGAAACTTGTTTATTTGTATATATGTACATGTGCAGAATCTAATTCAGATTTGGCTTTACTTACTGTAAACACCTTAGTTAAAGATGCAATTAATGATGTTAATCCTATGGTCAGGGGGTTAGCACTAAGAAGCATGACAAGTATGAGGTAAATATTTTTGAATGAAACATTTATTCAATATTAGTTTGCAATTGAAATGTTTATTAACATTTGAAATATTATTAAATTTTTTTTGTTATTTTTAAAGAAAACTGTTGTTTAGAATAAGCAATTTGGTTGAGTACATAAAGCAACCTCTTTTGTCTGGATTAAGAGATTCTAGTAGTTATGTAAGAAGAAATGCTGTTATGGCATGTGCTAAATTATTTCAACTTGATGAAAATGTTTTTAAAGGTTAATATTTTAATATTTAATATTTTAAAAAACTAAAATTTTTTAAAATTTTAAGTTAATCAAGAGTTTACTAAGTTTTTTTTTTGTTGTTGTTGCTTTTTTTCTCTATTTATTTTATTTTAATTTTAATGGCTAAACACTTGTGTGGTTTAGAAGGGTTTCCATAATGACACTCTTATATAAATATTAGAATATGGAATAGCTGAAGCAGTTTTTTACATTCAGATCCCTTCCTGGTATTTATCAATTTTGCAGATTGGGACTGAGTATTTTTATTACAATACTATCACTAGGAAGGTTACAAGCTTTACCCATAATTAAATTAAGGACTTTATATCAGAGTTTTTCATTTACTAATAAAGTTGCTATTCACTGCAGCTAAAAAGCCTTGCTTGCGCCTTGAACCAAAAAATATGAAATTTAATTAAATCAATAGTTGCTTCTCATAGTGAAAATGTATTTAGTTGCTTCTCATAGTGAAAATATGTTTCATTGTTTCTCATAGTGAAGATAAATTTCATTGCTTCTTGTAGTGAAAATATGTTTTATTGCTTCTCATAGTGAAAAAAGTCAATAACACAACACCAAACAATAATATAATACCAAACAATAATATGATACCAAACAATAATATGATACCAAACAATAATATGATACCAAACAAACTAGTTAATAAAGCTACACCTAAAAACAATAAAAAACAACAAAAAACAAATATAAACAAAGAAACTAATATAAAAACAAAAAACAGTTAAAAAACAAATATAAACAAAGAAACTAATATAAAAACAAAAAATAGAGAAATAAAAATAAAATATAAATAAATAAGATAAAAAATAATAATACTAAAAAATAATAGTAATAATAATTATATTAATTAATGTTATGTATAATAATTTTAATAAAAATCACATCAAATGAAAAATATTGATTATATGTTTCACTTGCTTTAATAAAATAATCAAAACAATGTTTATTCTAGAGAAAATCAAATAAGACAATCATTAAGCTATACAGGATCTTGAAGTTTTAAAATTTTTAGTTTAGTAAACTGATGATGGTGTATGATACTTGATAAAATGCTTCTTAGTGGTGTATGATATTTGATAAAATGATCAATGGCCATGATACTTGATAAAATGCTTAATGGTGGTGCATGATACTTGATGAATGATCAGTGGTGTTCATGATACTTAATAAAATGCTTGATGGTAGTGTATGGTTCTTAATAAAATGCTTGATGGTGGCATGTGATACTTAATAAAATGCTTGATGGTAGCGTATGATACTTAATAAAATGCTTGATAATGGCATGTGATACTTAATAAAATGCTTGATGGTGGCGTATGATACTTAATAAAATACCTAATGGTAGCGTATGGTACATAATAAAATGCTTGATGGTGGCATGTGATACTTAATGGTGGCGTATGATACTTGATAAAATGATCAATGTTGGTGTATGATACTTGATGAAATGCTTGATGGTGGCGTATGATACTTGATGAATGACCAATGGTGGTACATGATACTTAATAAAATGTTTGATGGTTGCATATGGTACTTTATCAAGTGCTTAATGATGGCATGTGATACTTAATAAAATGCTTGATGGTAGCGTAGGATACTTAACAAAAGGCTTGATGGTGGTGTATGATACTTGATAAAATGCGTGATGGTAGTGTAGGATACTTAATAAAATGCATGATAATAGTCAATGATTGGTACAATTGTTAAATTTAGCACACATTGTTATTTAACCACTGTATAAAATTAAAGTTCAACATTTTTAAGGAAATTTCAATTTTTTTTAAAACAAATATACTTTATGAATATAAAAAACCATATACAAAGCAAAGATAAATTGTTGTTTTTTACAAATTTGTCATGTCAATGTTTATTGTATTTTTTTACCAACTTTCTCTTTCTAATATCATAAATCAAACCATTTCTAATATCATTAAATCATTCAATCTAATCTGCTACCTGACTTGGATTTTTTAACTTAGTATATGTCTTATCATAACCACAAAACATTAAGGGTATCAAGTTTATATTTATCACAAAGTATAATTATTTTGTAAATAAATCGATTTAACACACAGTTTAATTACAATGATGCTTTTAATGATCATTAGCATAATGATGAAGTCTGGATTAACATTCTTTTTAATTATTCTATGGGCACAGCTTATAAATTCTAAACATAAGTTTAGAATTTATTAGCTGATTCGATTGGAAATAAATACATAGTATATTTCAAGAACATCAAAATGAATCAATTATATTTCTTTTATCTGGATATTCTAGAAATGTCAATAGATTTTTAGAATATGTGTGAGCTTGACACAACCTGAAACTTGACCAGAACCAAGATTATTATAAAAAAAGTTCTGACAGTATTCCCTTTTCTTTTGTTTGACTCTATTTTATAACACCATAGTGAACACTATTTTTGAAACTAAGCTAATATTTAATAAGCTATTCATATTTTTATTTAAATCCATAATAATAAATTGAGTATCAAAACAAAAGTTTTTACTTTTTTATATTTTTTAGATATCTTTTTATTTATAAATTTTTTTTTTTTTTAGTATTTTTTTATAAAACTTTACAGAAAAATGTGAGTACATTTTTGAAATATTAATTTATGAAACAACAAATTAATAGTTGAATTTTTGGTAAACACTGAGATAAGCATCAAATAGTAAACAATTTTATTTCAAATCCAGATGTGGCTTTATCATTATAAGAATTAATCATTATAATTGTTTTGAGACACAGTGTAGCTCTTTTAGTTAAAGTTTTCAGAACAGTTTAAGTGAATATTATATTCTTGTATAAATTTTATTGTTATTTCCTTGTATGCTACCTTAACTTTATGTTGTGTTTTACAATTGACAGAGTGTGCCAAAAAGCATGCTTCCAGTTGATGGCGGCATAAGATACTTATTAAAATGCTTGATGGTGGCGTATGATACTTAATAAAATGCTTGATGGTGGAGTATGATACTTAATAAATGTGTTTAAGACTTATTTACAGCAGTAGCAACTGTCTAAACCTTTGCTTTTGTTAACTTTCATACATCTTAATTTTTCTCTTTTGAGAATTTAGATATGTACTTAAAACAAAAGCATATATTTGCTTGTTGTTTCTATAATAAAAAAAGAACATACAAATAAAGTTAAACATTGTAAATTTGTTCTTACCTCAATAAGTTTCTTTGATTATCATTTTTGTATACTCCCTTAGATCATTTAAGAAAAAAAAATTTCTGTTAGAAGTTCCTTTTTATGTTTTTTTTTTTAGTATGTATATATTTATATATTTTCTTCATTATATTTTTTTATGATTGAATTGTTGGCAATTAGTATATTTTTAGAAATTAGTTAATTGTTATTTTAATTACATAATATTTTATTACATAAAATATGAAAACCAACATCACAAAGCTGATATTTAACTAGCAAAATTTTTAAAGTTTAAAAATTTTAAAGCTTTAATTATATTTTTAATATATTTTAAGCTTTAATAATATTTTTAATGATTCTTATTTTGTATTAGCTGCTCTGAATCTAAAAATAGTTGTTATTAAATAAGTTTTATTAAATATATGTTGAATTACAAACCTCACTATGCGTCTGTTAATAAATAATTTTCAGTTAAATACTAATAAATAATAAGTTTATAAACCTGTTAATGAATAATCAATAATTTCTTTTTAGATTTGGGTCTTATCAATATTTTAAAAGATATGCTATTTGATGATGACCCACAGGTAAAATTATTTTATTAAGTAATGTGTGTGTATGTGTGTGTGTATATATATATATATATATATATATATATATATATATATATATATATTATATATATAAAAATATATATACATAAATATACATATATATATATATATATATATATATATATATATATATATATATATATATATATATATATATATATATATATATATATATATATATATATATATATATATATATATATATATATATATATATATATATATATATATATATATATATATATATATATATATATAGCCCTTGGAATTAGGGTCAGCATTTGCCAATGCCAACTTAACTGCCGACCTAAAAGTGTTTGAGGTTTGCAAAGAATTGCCAACTTCGTTTTTATGTTTTATGGTAAGATCTTTGTTTCAAATTTTTTTTTGCCAACTTGATTCCAACCTCAATATGATATTCAGGTCGGCAAACTATTGCTGACCTCAATTTTTCTTATTCCACCCTAATATATATTATATATATATATATATATATATATATATATATATATATATATATATATATATATATATATATATATATATATATATATATATATATATATATATATATGTATATATATATATATATATATATATATATATATATATATATATATATATATATATATATATATATATATATATGTATGTATATATATATACATGTATATCTATATATATATATATATATATATATATATATATATATATATATATATATATATATATATATATATATATATATATATATATATATATATATATATATATATATATATATATATATATATATATATATATATATATATAATCAACCATAACAAAGATGGCTCCACCTTCCTAAATTGACATTTTGCAATACAATAAAGTAATATTTTACACTTTTTAATTATTTTGTCCTTTGATATTTTTCCTAATAGAATTTTTAAAATTTTACTTTTTCATTTTAATATGTTCTCTTGTAGCTTAAAATCAGGAATGTGGAGCCATACTTTATACGTTTACACGTTCTGGAAAAAGCATACAAACCTCTTCAACACTGCTTTCCAGAATAGAAATATAATATATATATATATGTATATATAGTGAAAACTAAATAATTATTATTAATTAAATTATTATTGCGTGAAACTTTTAGTTATGTAATTGAAATATATCTTAATAATAAAAATTAATAATAATAATTATTATTTAGTTTTCACTATATTATTTGCTCTACTAATTATATAAAACGCTGTATTGAGCACTCTTACTGGAAATATTAACATAATTCCTACAATATATATATATATATATATATATATATATATATATATATATATATATATATATATATATATATATATATATATATATATATATATATATATATATATATATGTATATATATGTGTATATATATATATATGTGTATATATAAATATATATGTATATATATATATATATGTATTTATATATATGTAAATATAATATATATATATATGTATATATATTAGGGTGGTTCAGATTGAGGTGAAAATTTTTTTCAAACTAGAGTAAAAGCTTATAAGGTGCGCAGACCCTTGTTTTATATATAAGATTTTTTTTTTTTAATTTAAAAAAGTTTTAGTGTGGCACACAGACCCAAATTATTTTTTTAAAACCCTTTTTTAACATTTTTCGACCCCATGTGTGCAACCCTTAAACATTAAGTTAAATTTTTTTTTAATATTTGTTCTTGCAATGAATAATATAAAAAAAATTAGGCACTCTTTCTATATATTTATATATTTTTCTTTAATAAAAAAAGTTGTTAATAAAGACTAATTACAGTTTTTTTAAACTTAACAAAGTTTTTTATTATTTCTTTACACAAACACAAATTATTTCTATACACTGTTTCTATGACAGCAGTGTGATTTCATTGTTCTTATGTGTTAACCATGCTCGATTTTCAACATCTGCTATTTTAATGTTGAGCAAAATTTTAACATGTCTAAAATGTTGATTTTATAACTTTAAATTTGAAGTGTTTAATATATTATTGGTTCTTGCATAATATTCAATGAAATATGTTTTTAGAAATTAAAAAGATATCTAAATTTATGTTGTTATAGTGTAATAACATAAATTTAGATATTAGTTATGTAAATTTCATTTACATGAAATAAAAAGTAAATAAAAAAGTACAGTATAAACTTATAGATTAATGGAAAAACAAGAAATCAAGGCAAAGAAATATTCTTATTTAAAAAAACTAGGAAGACACTATCTATTCAGTTTTCAACTATTAAAAAAATAATTCAGTATTACCTTTACCAAAGAGAGTCTAAACCATCTGTTTCTCTCAAAAACTTGTTTTTCTCTCTAAACAATGGTTCTACATTTACACCAAATTGTCCAGAGGCTGAAGAGAACTGCTGCATTATATCTAAACTGAACACTCCCTAGAACTTGGAGGATACAGAATTTGTAGCATAAAATGCGTTTT